ACACCTTCTTACAAAGTTAGCAGATTTTAAGTTTTCAACCCCAGATTCCAATCAAAATGACTAGAGTTCTAGACTGCAAGAAATGTTTGAATTTGTAGCAGTGAAAAATAAACCAAGATTCAAACTGGATAAACACAATGTGGAAATCATGATTAATTAGTAGGAAAAGAAGGAACTCTTTTTTGCTTTTTACAGTGTCACAGTTGACAATCTGACTGAAGCATTTGGCACCGTGGCTGGTGCACAAAGCATTTGCAGCAGTCTGTGAGTCCCTTTCTCATGGATGGTAAAGCTGAAAGAACCCATCAACAAAGCGTTTTGAAAAAAAAAAATGCTTGATAAAGGAATATGGGGCTGCCAGTTGTCTCACAACCATGCCTTGTTCTAGTAAAAGAAGATAACAAAAAGTGAAAACAACCAAGATGGAAAACAAAACATCAACCTCCTCATACATATCAAATCATTACAATGCAACAAGTAACACCAAGTGATCAAGTTCATTGACAAAGATGTTATATTAAATGGGAATGTGGATGTCTGAGTCTGATGGGTCCTAACTCCTAACTTCTTCTTTTAGCTAAACATTGAGGGCAACTTCCCATCTCCCAACCTAACATTCTAGTCGTTGACCACAGACGTATCTATACCTCCCATATGAGGGGGATTTCTTGCTTTTGAATAATAAAAACTAGGTATCTGATGCTTCGTAGAATGCAAATGGGACAAAGTATATTTGAAGAAGATTAAAATTATTGTGGGGCTGAATAAGCACACAATGGATACAGATGTTGATGTTTGGAACAATGGGGTCATGAACTTTATCATTCACAACCGTACCTTTTTCTAGGAAAAAAAATACTGTTTTTTTTTTTTCTAAAAAGTGATATCAAAATGCAAGGCCTAGCAGGAAAGAGAATTGATCACGAAAACTTGAACAAACAGAAAAGAGCTTTCCCTGAGAAATATATACATATACACTTACATTTGGCACTTCTCACAGCAGAATAATTTCAGTCCATCTCATAAATTCTAGATGATCTGCAATGATACTGAAATCACCTACATCAACTCCAAATACAGATTATATCTTTAAAAAGTATTTAATGGAGGAAAAATACACAGCAAGGGTAAGGATGACATATTGTATCACAAGGCTTCTTGCAATAAATTGATATGAAGTCTTAACCTCCCAATTGCTTCAATGATGTGCTCCAAAGTATGATGCTGACAGTAGACAAGTGGGTATAAGCTATAAACTTGAAGTAAAAATGCATAGAATATAGAATGCCAAACAAATAGCATTGAGATTTAGGGGTTTAAGTACAACCTTGCATCAACTTCCAGAACATTAGTTCAGCTATAATTTAGCAGTGGTCCTCTTTTCCTCATCTGTTTTTCCTATTCCTACGGCATTTAGTTGGATCAGAAATTTAATAAGAAAATAGCACGCTATCACACACACTTCCCATCAATGCAATTATTGATGTTCATTGCAAAGCACTAAATTTCTTAGCATGCTATTATTGTTCATTTTTAATTTAGGATGTGTGGCTCACCCTCAAAAGGAGAACATGAGATGGATTTTCATTGGAAATGGCCCGGCATCCACCATCCTGGCACATATATGATTGGTCTCCATGTCAACAAGAGTAGGTTCTCAAGTTAAAAATACAAATCATATTAGTTCCATATGTAGAGAATTAAGATTTTTTTTGCAAACCTCCACACCAAGTACTTAATACTAACTCTCCAAAATATTTCCTGCATTAAACCAACAGGCTTCGTATTATCATGATAAGGGTTCTAGACCTAAAAATCTGTACTAGATACATTTGTATTTACTTGTACTCTACACAAAAAATTATTGTTTCTATCGGGCCAAATAATACTTTTTTATTCAAAAGCACTAATATATCTATGGGGATGAAAGAAATGAAAATGAAATCCCTTTCTGAATTAACATCACATAAACTTTGGAAAAAATCTATGTTAGTGAGGGATTGAATTGGGAATAGTCCCTCCCTCTTAGTACATAGCATTATTAATCTAATTGTGGCATACATTATTACTCTGCTTGTGCTGCCTTACTGGATTCCTAATCCTATACTCAAGGCCAAGAGAATTAGCAAAAAATGTAAAATTCTGGGTACCCAGAAAGCTAATTATCTTATTCTAACCATCAGAACTAGTGCCCCCAAAAATCTGCAGAATTCAAAAAATATACAATGGTTATATTAGAAGCTTCAGTTTCAGCAGAAACAAAGGCAAAAAGACTAAAGAAAAATTCTACCTCTGTCTTGGGAGGGCTAAGGTCCAGAGTGGGAATACAGGAAATGATTTGTGTTCATAAAAAAAAGTTAACAAAGAACAGGTTCTCAGAGGAAAAAAAAAAAAAAGAGGAAAAACTCTATGGTTTCACTCTGTTTTATAAGCATTTTTGAGCTTGAATGTTTCAGAAAATGCTGAAATCAATGTGATTATTTTCTTCCAGAGATGAATTCTCCTAAATTGTCATGAACTGAAGAATAAACCATGAAAATTTGCTGAGTAGGAGTTTTATTCTGCTCTTCCATAGCCAGACTGCAGAGAAATACAAATATTGAGAAGATATGGACGAGGAAGGCCGAAAAAAAAAATGTAGGGGGCGACAAAAGAAGTTAATGGGTTGGGTCAGGCCGTTTCAGTGAGATTCTCACCCACTTGCAGACCCAATCCAATTTAATATGGGCTGGGCAGTTTCTAGACTTTTTTGGGCCAATTTTGATTTCTAACCTTCATTCCATTTTTTTTATCCTCAGAGAAAATTAATTGTTTATTCTGTTTATCTCAAAATAATAATTATTTTTTAATTTTTTAAATTAAAAATTTGAAAACAATTTATATATTTAATTATATTACCCTTAGAAAGGGTTAGAAGATAAAGTCAAATTTTTTATAATAGTGTTTACACCTAAAATAAACTAATAGGGTAAGGCTACGTGTTAAGGTAAAGTCCAATTACCTTGACACATGGCCTTATCCTATTGGTTTATTTTAGGTGTAAACAAATAGAATAACTAATTAAAATAAATGGATAATTATAAGTTTAAATTAGTAAAACATATTTATTTATTTTTAAAAATAAAAAAAAATATAATTAATTTGAGATAAACTAAAAGTAAAAAAGCAATTATTTTGGGTTAGAGGGAGTAACATTATAAAGATTTAAATTTTTTTGTTGTTTTTAGTTTGCATTGCATTTAAACATATTAGTATGGGTGCAAAAGTTA